TTTTTTTTTTTTTTTTTTTTGTTGTTGTTTTTTTTTTTTCCTTACTTTCTTTCAAATATACACAATTCTGCTCAGGTCTTTAAGGGGGAAGAAATACCACAAATGCTTGTGACTATCTACAGCAGCACCAACTGTCCAATCAGTACATACCTGCTTCTGAACAAAAAATGCGTAAGATAACTAGTATAAAGTTCCATTTCAAATCTCTCTGCTCCATCCAGATACTAGTTTTCATAAAAGATCACCTTGAAAAGTTTTCTCAATCCATGCAATTTGCCTGTAATTGACCAATGAATTCAGAAACACCTATAGACCTGTGCTCCCAAGTCTCATCACCATGGAATAAAAATACATTAAAAAAAAAAAAAAATCCCAAGTCCCCAAAGTCCCAAACTCATGGTAAGAGTTTTACATCGTTCTCCAGAACAGAATCTGGCCGGAATTAACATAGCTGCTTGTAGCCTATATCACAAGATGGAGGATGATTCTTATAGGTCTCCACAGGAATGACTGTATCATAGCTAGCCTTCTTCAACCTAAATCAGACCAACTTAAAAAAATCTGTGCAGCAAGGCTTCCCCTCCTTCCCCCCAAATTATACTCTCCCTTTAACAATATACAGAAAGACTGTAAAAGTTTACTGTGGAAATCAGAGTACTTCCACAATAAATTGCAGCCCTTTTAGGAATCTGCTTTTAAACTATCATATCCTTCACACAGTATTTGTATTTACAGCGCACTAATATTTATCACAGCACTACAAGCAAGATATACATATAGATCTTACGGTGTGGGACATAGTATGCCAGCAACTCGCTATTTGATATATTTAGTTTCTTCTGTTGTGGCTGGTTTTCACTTGTTATGTGCTCTGTGTTGTCATCATCATCTTCCTCTTCTACTATGAAATCTTTCATGCTGTCACTGTCAGTTTCACCATCTTCTGTTGATGTGAGGGGCATGTGACAGAATGGTTCCTCTTCTGTTTCTCCTTCACCATTAGAATCCTATTTAAATTTTAAAAAGTATTTAAAACACAAGAATTTTCAGTATTTGCACTAAATACTACATATATTGGTTAAGATTTTTGACCTCCTAATATAATTTGTTCAATTAACAAAAAATGTTTGCAAAAAATACATCATTCTGTCCTAGATGACAATTACGTTTAGCTTTAAATCAGTCATCTCCATGTACCTCTCCTCAATCTACTTATAGGAATTAAGCTAACATGAGATCTCTAAGTTACTTCAGCAGGTATTTTGCTTCTTGATAAAACTAATTTGATAGTGCTCTCATGCATCTCTTGGGAAAAAAAAAAAAAATTTCCTTTCTGACTATGCAGAGAATAAACATACCTGCTAAGCTGCTTAGTCATCAGAATACCCAAAAGAACAAATTAAATTCTTAAATCCTCAGTGATTAAAATTAAAACTCGAGATAAAGGTTTTCAGCAGCCAATATTGTTATTTAGTTAATGTGACAATTGTTAAAATGTGACAGAACTACTAATTTGTCATGAATAACAAACAGAACAAAATAAAGAAAATCCCACTGATTTATTAGTCTTTGCCTTGCCCTACATTCAGTATTTTCTCCAATTACATTTGAAAGATAAAATCCAGACCTCACAACTTTCACTGCTCCAAGTTGCTCTTTGTCTTGCAAGTTCTTTCAATTTTGCAAATACTTTCTGTTTCCTATTAGTAGAAACATTTTCTGTAGGGCAGGTTTTAACAGGCTGATGTTCTTCAGAACTGTCATCTTCATCCATTATACAGTGGCGTTTAGCAAAAACTTTTCTAACAAGTATATCACTGCCCTCACTTTCATCACTGTCATACAAGACAGAGGTGTTCAACCTTTTACGCTTCCCAGGTACGATGTACTCATCCTCACCATCTTCTGTTACTTCCTCAGAACGGCTTTTCTCCTCCTGATCTAAAAGTCTGTTCTTCACAACAGTTTCATCTTTCTCATCTACTTCATCTTCTGATGTGGTAGGTTCTTCCTCCTCAGATGTACCTGAGGATTCGTCATCGCTGTCAAACAGTATGAGCTCCCTTTTAGTGCGTCTCCAATCAACTCGGGATTTGGATAATGACAGTTCTGTTCCTGCTGTCTTATTTCTTGTTTCGTATCTTCTGACAGCTGCTTTTATCTCCATTAGAAGGCTGTGACAACACAGCAGAATATAAATTGGTAAAACAAAGCATTTATTATGCCATTAAAAGCAAAAAGTACAAGGGCATGCATATTTTGTTGTATATGCTTATGACTTAATAATATAATTATTAAGAGACATGCAGAAATCAGCACCGAACAAAACTAAGCATGCACAATAAGTTTTGAAGAGAATATACCTTACTCAAAAAAAAACCGTAGAAAAGAACTGCTAACACTCAGCATGAATGAACTGGAAAAATCGAGTCTGAAGCGCAGCTACAGACCCCCACCACGTCCTCCAACACTGGAAGCCTGCAGCTGAGGCAGGGCGCTCCCCGCCCCTGAGGGGCCGCGTCCATCGCCGGGTCAGGATGATCACCGGGCAGGCCTCCCTGAGGAGCGGCGCGGCGCACGCAGCCGCT